AAAAAAAGTTAAAGTTAGCTCCATCTTGACCTTCTAATAATAAAATGCTATTTACACACATTAAAACTTTTCTGCTTCAAGTACATTTATTTTCATTCTGCCAAGGAGGATGTGTTTCCACCCCTGTCTCTCTGTCTGTCTGTTTGTTTGTTTGTCTGTTTGTTTGTTTGTTTGTTTGTTTGTTATCTTGATGAAAACAAATCAGGTATATGTGGGACTGATATCTATTAGTGTGTGTAATTTGGTGCAGCTTGATTGGATTTAAGGGGACTGTTGGAACTTGGCGGAGGTACGAGCTCATCTGAGTGCTATTCCAGTCAGTACTTAAAATAAATGTTCGCAATTATCCTTGTGTGTCATTACTTATGTAACATTTTACATTATTGCAGGTCTTCACCCCATGCTGGGGTATTTTTACATTGTGATACTGCTACGTTAACTTAGGGTAAATAAAGGATCTGAACACTTTTAAAGGCCTTGAAGCAGGTATCCAAGCTGAACCAGAAAATATCACAATAACCACAGAATCCATCACAACTATACACATGGACGACTGAGAACATAATAAAAAGGGAGGAAAGTTTGAAAAACTAAAATGCGGACATTAAAAATGTTTGACAAAAATAGGCAGAGAAAATGTCAAGTGGAAGAGAAGTGGATTTCCTCTGGGGCCCCAGAGATCTTCTACCTAATATATCCTCAGCACATATTTAATCCAGCCATGTGGGACATGTTCAGCAAGAGTTACAGGATGCACGCCTATTACTCACCTATCCACCGCTGTATGTACCGCCCTATACCCCAAACCCCCACCACCCGAACCCTGCTCCGACAGCCTGTCCTCCATCCAGACTGCAGGCGCTACGGGCTATCAGAGAATCGAAGCAGGAATGTGACTCCTGACAGACACATCTCTCAGGACCACAGACTAAATATGTTCCCAATTAGCTCCATCTGATAAAGTCTGAGTGCAAGTGAAACCCAAGGCGGCCGTGATCAATAGTACTTGACTCATTTTGTCAAATGACGTTGACAGGCCGCAGCATGATTAATCACAGTGGTGCTGCAGATAATTGTGCGACCACATCTTCCTTTGTAGGTGTCGCTGAACTTTCACTGTCATGTCTGGGCTGCTTTGAGTACGGCTCGTCACGTTCAGTTCAGTTCCAATTAATCTTTTTTTTAACCGACGTCAGTACAAAATCCAGGTTCTCCTTAATCTACCTGTCAGTTATTTCACACACACACACACACACACACACACACACACACACTCAGACATTACATTGACTTACAAATATTTTCACTCTCACCTTAACCATACCTACTTGCCTTAGCCTAAACACCAACCCAACTTAATCTAAAATACATCTTTACCTGAAAATGTAATGATTTACGTTATGGAAACTTGTTTTTTGCCCACATGTCAAGTCAAGTCCCCATAAAGTGACTGTGTAAACAAATATAGGTCCCCACAATATGGGTAATACCTGGACCACACACACACAGGTTTGTGCAGCTATCCCTATTTTATGCTGGAACGCAGAGGTATCCATAGGCACACAAACACACACAAACACACACAAACACACACAGAGCCTTTTTTCTTATGCCCCAAGATATAACTAGCTGGACCATAATCGCCACCTGCTGTCCACACCGCGCACTGCAGCAGAGTGGGGCGCCAGAGTGGTGGTTCTTTCAGTGGGGTGAGATGTTTGATAAAAACAAGCTGCAGCCTGTTGCGGTTTCATCCTCAGAAAGTCTCCTTGGTTTCCATGCACACAGCTGGATGTTTTTACCCGTTCGGGACCACTCTGACATGGGCACTGGAGATGAAACAGGCCTCCCTCGGCACACAAACACACGTCACTACACTCCTGGCCTTGTGTACAGCTGGTAGGGATGACACAAGAGGCACAGGGCTTTATTGAGTCCTTCTGAGGCTGCTGTTTTAGTCAGGGCAGTGCTCTGGCAAAGCTCAGCATGTGAGGCATCAGAGGAGAGCGGGCCGATGGAACACAGGCCGCTTGGCCAATGCCGAGTGTCTCTATAGGCCAGTGTGTTGAACTCGAATGTCGTGACATGAGACCTGGCCTCCTCTCAGCTCTGGTCTCATTAAACTCAGTGAACTCTGCGTAGAGAGGGAGCAACAGATAAAGAAATAGAGACACCTTCATTTAAAACTCAAGTAGTGCTGAGGTGCAACTCAGCCTGCGTCCTCTTTAATGGCTCAAAACATCAGACGTGACACTGGGTTGTCAGCTTGATGGTGAGAAAAACGAAACGCAATGCATTTTGATGATACATGTTGTTGGACTGATGGCAGGTTTCAGAAAATGATTCAGTACTTCTGTTTGCTTTCTCAGAGACCACAACTGTAAACAAGTCATCAGCCGTGCACGTGGCTCCGTGAGGCACAGTGGAGAAGTGAGTTCATTGCTTACACATATTAATTCAGCAAATTATCATACTAACATTTACTAGTCAACAGTAAATAGCAAGTATAGTTTAGGCTGATGTGAATCAGTCAGTCATACTTCATTAGAGTAGCAGCGTTCTTGCAGGTGAGTGCAGACTTGAGCCAGGAATTAGATAAAACAAATAAAAATGCTGACCCCAATAACAGAGTAAATTTTAATTTAATTTCAATAAAAGGGAATACAAACATTAATATTAGCAAACGGGAAATTTTAAAACATTTAAAACATATAGCTGCAATAAACTAATGCCTATAAACCATACTTAATCAAAAACCTGGCTAAAGACTTAAGCTTGTGGTTAGTTCCACTGACTGACCAACATTGACACATGTGGCTGTGACTCAGAGCGCAGAGCTGGACCTCCACTAACCGGTCTGTGGTTCAATCTCTGGCTCCTCCATTGTTTGTACTGACTTGTCCTTGGCTAAGACAAGACAAGACAGTTGTGAATGAGTGATGTGTGATAGAGAAAGTGACCAAGACCATTTACCTTGAGCTATGTTGCTAACATTGGTAAAAAGACTAAACTATGAGTGTGGTTGGACATTTATGATTCTATTTTGAATGTGGTTAGCACTGGGTTCCCAGTACGAGCTCTGGTTCTGTCGGGGGTATCTCTGTTTTGAGTTTGCATGTTCTCTCTGCTTCCTCTCACAGTCCAAAGATGTGCAGATTGGGTTGGGTTAATTGAAGACTCTAAACTGTCCATAGATGTGAATGTGAATAGTTGTCAGTAAGCTGGTGACCTGTTCAGGTTGTACCCAACCTCTGACCCAACATCAGCTGGGATTGGCTCATCCTTATTCTTTAAAGGATAAGTTTTATAGATTATGAATAGATGGATGGTTCTGTTTTTAAGTTAAATGACATCATACACGATCACTATATAGATGTTTTTTTGTCTATAAATGACTTATTGGCAAACACAATAAAATCATCGTCTACACACCGTACAACAACACATTATCCCATTATTTGGAGTAGAGACACTGCTTTCCATGCATTTCCGTATTTAGTCTTCTTCATCAACTGTGCAGGCTGAAGAGAAGGGTTGCATATTATGTTTCCACCCAGAAGAAAAGAAAAGAATATATGGAAATTTTTAACACAAGGTTGACTGTCCTGTGTCTCCCCTGATTTGTTTACGTCATTAGCATCATTATTCATCCAGCACATATTAAGCCTGGTGTTCAATGTGGAGCTGATTTATTGTCGAGACCACCACATAGTAGATCATTTTTTCTCTACGCAGCCCATTCCACGAGCATTGCTCAATGCCGCACTGATGATTCTTCAATCTGCAGACCTCCAAACGAGCAAAGGCCCAGCATGCCTCTGTGCGCCTATGCTGTATATTCTCATCTCTGTTGTGGGAAAACTTGTTAGTTAACCCCAGAAGTATCTCTTTCAGTAGGAGCCTGGGTGGGTTTGTGACTCTGTCTGTTCCTTTGTTTCTCTTTTGTCCATGAATAAACTACTGTCAGAGGCGGAGGGCGGAGGACTTCATCCTGGAGTTTCGGTGCTCTGCCTTCTCCTTTTCCCTCTTCTCCCCTTTTTCTTTCTCCATTGTCTTCATTGCAAATTTCCCGATCACATTTAGAAACCACTTTTTGTGTGAGATAAAGCAGTTTGTCTCATCACAAATTTGTCTCATGCACAAGAGCAGTTCGTTGATTCAATAGTTAGATAACTGGGGACGGCACTGGAGGAGCACCCAACACCTCATGGTCACATCAGAGTGAGTTGACGAAGAGAAGAGAAACACAGGAGACCATAGACAGCGTGGAGAAAAAAAAACGCTGTGACTTCATCAGCAAACATTTCATCTGTTTCTCTCTGTAGGATTCATTTTATCCATTTTATCATGAGAAACATCTGCGTCCCAGTAGAGACATGATCAGTATCTTATCCAGCCATCTCTCCTTAGGTTTGTTACCTCATAGAATGCTTCATACCTGACTGAGCTGTCATTCACTCGGTCTTTAAGTGACCTCTTGTGGCTGAAAACTAGTTTTATAATAACGGGGACTCTATGTATCCCACAACTAGAAACCTTTAGAAATAGATATTATATAGATAATAGATAATAAGATGTTAACCAAATTTCTCAAGTTCCCTTAAATTGGATAACGGTACACTGCTTGACAGTGAGCACATTTATTATGTACATAATTGAGTTTCCTAGTATTACCACATTCTTAAAACCAACACATAATTATTGTTTGTATGGGACTGAGAATCAGCTTATGTTAAATACCTCTGCTAAAGAGGTTGTGTTTTTACCCCTTTCTATTTGTCATAGAAGAAACACTTTAAATGTTGGTGCAAACCCAGTTCAGGGGGCTAATCCAGGAATTTCTTTCACTTTTTTTAACATTGTGAGACAGAGCATTGTTATCAGTGTTTTGTTTTTTTTTATTGTATTTCATTTAATAAATTCACAAGAAAATATCTAAAAAGCCTTGGGTGCATCCTCATTGAATTGTTGCAATTACAAAAGAGACACAGGAAACGTGAGAAGTCAATAAAATTAGTATTGCATGGGTTCCCTCCATCACTAGAGGGCGACACCAGTTCAACTTGGCAAAACCGTACAATCATTCTGATTAGGACTTTACAAAAATTGATATTTATTGGTTTATTTGGCAGGTGTGGGAGAGAACTGTGTAGTCTTATTCTAATAAGACAGAAAATAGATTCAGTGTTCAATTAGTATACTTAACAGCTAATAAAACACACAGTCTTTCAGTCAGTGCAGCAGGTTGGATAACAATGCAAACTATTCAACATATATGGAGAAATAAGTCTAAAAATGAATTAATCATTTGCATTTCAATGGAGCAGTTCTTTTAACAAAGTTCATAATTTGACTTTAATCAGTATCAAATGAATCTATAGATATAACTAAACTGTAAAATAAAACATTTCCAGATTTCTTATTGAATGTTTTTACTACAGGAAACATCATTTCACAAAGTCGAGTGTCGAAACCCAAAAATATTATTGCACGTTTAAGTACATATACTTTTTCTTTTTTTTTGCATTTAAGGGTAAAGTTGTTATTGCTGATGCAGTCTACGTAAGTCTCCAGCAGGGAGCAGTGCAGAGATGTCACCTCTCATTTCTGTTGAATGAGTCAACATGAACATCAGATTCATGATAAAGCCTGTAAAGGCTACAACAAGTTCATTCATCAGTGGTTTATTGCCTTTAAAGCCAGTGGGAGAAGGCAAAGTCAAGAGAGAGAATCAAGAGCTTCTCCTACACCATGTTGTTGTTGAGTTTGGTCCACTCAAAGATGTCCTGCTCGCACACAATGTCCGAGTTGATGAGCAGGTAGCGGTCGCCCACACAGAAGTGTTTCTGGCAGGCGGCACACTTGAAGCACTCCAGGTGGTAAACCTTGTCCCGCACACGCATCGTCATCTCAAACGCTCGGATCCTCTTCTCACAGGAGGCACAGAGACCGTCCTGACCGAAGAGCCTGAGTGAAACAGAGGGGGTGTCACTGAGAGGACGATGAAAAACATCACCCATCATCCTAAATAACATGTCACATGAGCAACAAGGTTTCTAAAGTTTACATTTTGTGCATCTTAAACTCTGTAAACATGGTTTCGGCCCCTGATCCAGGATTTTCCTGATTTAAAACAAATCAAATTCTCAGTCATTCTTCGGAATTTCCACAACCATTCTGCCTCTGCATTTTCTTACTTTTTACAAAATATTTCTAGCAAGAGGGAAAACAGCATATGTCAGAATCATATATTTTAATTTCCTTATTCTAAAGAGTATCCATAATAGAGATGAGCACAGCAGGTTTTTAGCAAATGTTATATGAATTTTTTTTCACTCTTTTAACATAGTGAGATAGTTTTTCAACATTATCATCGTTTTATCAGGGAATAATTCACAGATCTTGATTTTTATTTTTTAAATCAAGCACATTTAGGGAACTGTTGGGCCTTGGCGGAAGTACATGATTTACTAAGTGCCATCCTCCTTTGGAAACAATTTTCAGCCGCGGATTAATATGCATTTGGTGCTTTACTGTGCTTTTATAACAGCAGAACAGTCCTCGTAAACAACAGTTCTTTTGTTCCCCATAATAAGCATCACCCCGTGCAACAATGACGACCTCTGACGTGTTTTTAATTGTGAATCCCTCGTGTCTTGTGATGCGTACAAATCCACAAATTGCTTAATTAAATCATGATGTTACAACACCAGCAGACCGACCTGAGGTAGTCTCTCCGACATAACTTCCTCCCGAGCTTATAGTAGAGTCGTCGGCCCACCTCGCCCAGCCGACAGCCACACAGGTCACAGCTCAGACAGTCCTCGTGCCAGTACTGCTCTATGGCCTTCAGGAAGAACCGGTCGCCTATGCTCTGCTGACACCCACCACATGACAGCAGAGAGGGGGGCATCTGGAGGACCTCGTCCACCGGCTCCCTGCAGAGATAAGACGATCAGTGATCCTAGTGCTGCAACAAATAACTGTAAAAACTAAAAAGGTTTCGTCCATAAAATGTAATGAAAATAAATTCCAGTTTCCTAAAGCACAGGATGACATCATCATGCTGTTTCTTTCCAACCAACACTTGAAAGAACAACCGAAACAATTAATCTGTTACTATCGTTACCAGTTAACTTCTAACTTGTTGTTTCTGTGATAAAATAAATAACTTTGTATTGTTCATCTGTACGTGGTGGATTGTATATTAAACAGAACGTAGAAGAAGTTGACAGATTTATCTTTGTTACAAGCACGACGTATGATTCCTCTTTGTTGGAAGAATGGAACAAGCTCATCTGTTGGTCACTGGCTTCAAAAACGTTCTGTGTGCCTCGTGCTCGAGAAATTACATCCACAGTCTAGAAGAAATCAGCTGAACGTCATGAGGTTTGGAGACCCTCTTTTATGTTTTTAGAGAATTGTGAACTCGAAGAAGCTTTGGAAACATGAAGGTGATATATTTCTATAGGGAATAGTCTTGCAACTGTAAATATTCCATGTCTACCACACAGAGTGATGCTGTCTAATATCTATGATGCGCAATCATCATATATTTGAGATCTGTATCGATTATAAGGAAATAACAGGTTTCAAAACAGGTTTCTTATTATCCATCTGGTTTTAATGTTGCTGTTTATTGTGGCCCATAAACAGCAACATTAACATTTATTGTGGCCCATCTGTCTTATCCTATTTGTGCTTATCCTATTTTGTGAAGCACATAGTATTGCTGCATATTTTAATGTAAATGTGCTATGTAAATAAAGTACTATATTTTTATCTGTTTATGTATTTAACTAGCCTTCATATGATCTGTCCATTTTGAGTTGCTTGAACTTGATGTCCACCTGATGGAGCCATGTAGCCCAGAGTGGACATGCCACAAAGTATTTAAGCCAATACTTTAACAAAGAAAGCTGATTTATATATTAAATATATAAATATAAAATATATCTTATTTGTGAAGCCTATAAAGTTACAAACAAAATAAACAGTAAAGCTATTTGAACATTATTTTTCTTTATTATTTATCACACTTTTTTTATGAACAGTTTCTTCTTGTCCAACACCTTTCACTGTTGACCCTGTGTTGACTTGCACACGACAAATTAACCTTGAAACTTAAACACTTTCACAACATGAATATATATTTTTTGCCTGACAGCAGGTGACCCCTGACCTCTATATGCTATACAAACCATCTGTATTGAGATAAAGTGGCTATAGCATCAACCACGATGCATCCTTGAAAGTCTGTATGTTTTTAATGTTGCTGTTTCTTGTAGCCTATAGTTATGCCATCTGCCTATTCATTATTTTAGTATTTAATTCTTATGATTTGTCAATCTGACTTGAACACTTGCTGTCCACCTGAGGGAGCCATTGGATTCTGTTAAATAAACGAAAGAAGCCACAAAACATTACGCCTATACTTTAACAAAGAAATGCGACTCATGCATTTTCATGTGAAACCTTTAAAGCAATAGATACAATAAACTGTCAAGCATTTGGACTTGAGCAACTTACCTTTAGATTATTTCCTTCAATCTGGGCAACACTGAACTTTTCTTGCCAGGAGCTGATTGTACCTGTTTACCTATCACACTTTTACAACCTTCTGTTGGACATGAAGCAGAATATATGGTCTTGTCTGACAGCAGGTGACTCCTCATGCTATACCAGCCCTCTGCAGTGAGATCACATCAACCACGATGCGTCCTTGAAATACTGATATAAGCATATTATTTAAATGTATACCTCAGATATACTTACTCATTGGCCTCCATTGTCTTCCTCTCTATAGTGGACGACATTGCTGAAGTCCAGTCTGATCCAGATGAGTCCTCAGGGTCCGCAGCTCAGCGGCTCCCTGTCAAAGCGCCTTCGGACAGACTGAAGCCAAGACGCGCTGCACCTGCCTCCACCAGGACCCCACCAGGACCCCTCACTCTCTCTGAGCCTTTGCTGTCAGATTATCACTCTGTATCACGTCCAGGTGAAAGGACCGCAACACACAAACACACACACACGAGAGAAATCTCTGTGAGCAGCTAAACGATGATGGAGGACACTGTCATTTCCTGAGGCACTAACCCGAGGTGACGCTTCACGCCCCTCAAACGAATGTCACCATCCTGCGGCCACTTTACGCACCGTGCGAGCTTTTATTCATCCGATCGGAAGGTCATTGGTGGCGTGGGTCTCCGTGCGTGTGTGCATGCGTGTTTACCAGTGTGCGTGCTGCAGTCGCGCTCCTCCACATGCATCCTCGGTCATTGAGCAACAGCGGCAGCATCGTGTTTAAATAACATCGCCCCCCTTGGTCTCTCTCTCTCTCTCTCTCTCTCTCTCTCTCTCGTTTCCCTCTTCCTGCTCACGACTCTTTGACAATGGGGGGAAATGGGTCTTAAAGCGACAGCAGAGTGAGCTGAGTGAGCTGCAGGGTCACGACTCACACTGATCACTTCATTACATGCTCCACTGCACCAAAGATTCACAGAGAGACACTGAGAATCATCACGTCTCTCAGAGAGGAAACATAGTGGGGAAATGAACAGAGTTTTTAGAACCACTTTTTCAAATAAGACCCAATTGTTTCAGGAAGTTGAAGATAATGATTCATACTTAATAAATTATTCAGTGTGTCATAGATCTGTTTATAAAAGCCATTCAAATAATCGGTTGACAAGTTGTGAGAAATCTTTAACAACACCATTACTCATATACTCTACAATGCGTTATTTATGTAGTTTTGAGTTACTTGTTATTGAGTATTTCAAATGTAAGTACATTACAATGTAAAAACTGTATCACAATAATTATACCACAATGTAACACTGTACTTTGTACCAAACTATGTTTATTTGAAAGTAATGGTTAGTCTCTATGATTTCAAATAGGCTACAAACACATGATTAACTTGTAACATGTGATGTATTACTGTAGATTAAAGGCCCTGTGTGGTGTATTGCAGGGCATGAGGCCGCAATACAGTAAAAGTGATAGTTGTAATTTTTATCACAACAAAATAGAAAAGTCCTTGAAGCCTCAGAAATATTCCATTTTAAGCTGTTGTTGTGTGCATGATGCATTTTATCTTGTAGTTGGCTTATTCCAAAGTATGTGGGTCAGTTTAATTAGTGTTGGCCCATAGTTTAAGATATAACATTAAATAATATTTTCTAACCCTATCGTTGATTGTAATATCTCAATACAACAGTTCTTAAGAAAATGCACTATTGAAAAAATATATACATATCTGATAAATTGCATATTATAGATAAAGAAAATTTACTTTTCTGGATTTTTCTGTTGTGCATTCTTCTTTCTTGAATTTCCTTCGGGATGAATAAAGTATCTATCTATCTATTCACAAAGATCTTAGATAACTATGAAAATCGACTAACTTATAAAACTGAGAGAAAAATGTCTATTGCTATAAAATATCTCAAAACCAGATCTTTTCAGCGTAGAGCTGCTGTGGGTCCTCCTTCTTCTTCTTATCTACTGCCAGTGCCTGCAGGAGGGAGGGACACAGACAGCAGTTGGACTGGGCAGGGAGATAAAGCGCCTCAACTCCAGCAGCAGAGTCAGCTCCTCAGCCAGATGCAGGGAAGAAGATCGCAGGCAAACTCTAAATGTAGGCTGAAACCGTCCCTGGGCTAGAGAGTGGTGTCATTGGAGAGATACCAAGCTGAGAAGGCCCAGCAGCAAGGTGAGCGTGGCACTGTTGTGTGCCATGCTATAGTAGAAAGCAAAGAACCTTCACAGAGAGAAAACTCAGAATTAAAAACCCTTAAAGTAAAAGTTTTTGTAAAACATATGTAACAAGGGTTACAGTGACTTTTAGGATTAATTAAATAAAAATGCAACAACTTTAAACAAAGACATCCCCTCCTTTAATAACCATTTGTTACTAGATATTAAAACAATCACCTCAAGCTCCTCTCAGTATCTGCTCCTGCACTTTGCACCAAACCATGGAAGTGTACACATTCAGATTTCCCTCTTTATGAACATCACTTGTTCATGAGGATTTGTGATGAACATTATTACAAAAATGTATTCAAAATAAATTATTTTCAAGCTTCCCATATTTTCCACTCAACAGTAGCTTCTGATTATTTCACACAATCTTACTCGGCCACAGTTAGCATAGATAAGCATGGATAAGAAGTTAGAAAAACATATACAGAAGTTATTAAAATAACGTCAAAGTGAAAATCTGTTTTAGTGTGACAAAAAACATCTGCTGTGGAAAGAGAGGATCGAATACTTTTCTTGGGGGAAAGTAATTGTTTAGTTAATTAAGCGATATATGATGATGGATGGATGTTTCCAAGCTCAAGAATAAACTTTCAGAAATAACATCTTTTTTAAAGCATCATTCCTCCCACTGCTTACCAGCCCTGAGATTATATTATATCCACCTTGTTTTTATTCAACCTGATATGATCCCTTAATCCATGTAAGAAAAAAAACAACAGATAAAAATGAGTTTGATCTTCTTTTTTTTTTTACCAACAGGGTTTCCAAGAATGGATACATGTAAAGATCTATTTGAGGAGTATGGGTTTGTGCTGTCTAATACTGGTGCTTATATGAACCAAGTCATCCACATACTTCATGTAGTTTTCACCGAGAAAGCACAGAGGATGTGCAACCAGCACACAGAGTTGACGCTGTCTTCGGGGGATTGGTGCACGCTGCACTTCACTTCCTACCACTCCTTACACACAGGCACCCCACATGGCTTCCCATACAGACAAGTCGACTCCAGATGGCTCAGCATGATAGAGGAAACCAGGCTCACAGCATCGTAAACACTCTTGATAGTTGTTAGTGAAAAACCCTTATCTGCGTCTTTAGGCTTCCTAAATAACACCAGATACTCTAATGCAGACTTGACATGAATGCACCGGCCCTCCTCTACAGCAGATATGCTCAGGGGCGGAAAGGTTGTTGCAAACGTCATGTCTCAATTTTAAAAATAAGATATAAGATTTAATCATTCATATTATGTTACGGGCCCGGTTTCTTCCTGTCTGCGCGTTGGGGAGCAAACAGTTAAGAATGTAGACAACCTTTTGGGAAGTGGTGTTACTCATGCCCAGTTTCCTGTTATGCCTGTGTGGTACTGAGAGCATTATGGAGTTGAAAGCTGTGTGGCATTGAGGGCAGCCTGAAAATGAGCGTTACCACGAAACAAAAAGTAAAAGTCTGTCACACGGCCCCTGCTCCCTCTGCTCATTATTCACAAAATGAATGTGAATATTACAAGTTGCAAGTTCCTCTTATAGCAAAAAGCTGCATTGGTGGAGGAAGTACTCAAAGATTTTATTTAAGTCAAAGTGCCTCATTATCTTTTCTACTTGAGTAAAAGTAAGTACTTGTTATTAAATATGCTCAAAGTATTTAAAGTAAAAGTACCTTCAAGTGCAATATAGTTACTAGTGGAGTAGGACGTATAGATATTTGCTGATATATATAGGGAAGTAAAAGTGAAAAGTAATTGAAAATAAATCCACTTAAGTTAAGTACAGATACTTGAAAAATATACTCAAGTACATGTACAAAGTAAATCTACTTGGTTACATACAACATCTGGATTAAGCTGTTTTTAAATGGTTAAGGACTTCACATTGAATATATTGATTATTAGTGAAACAAAGCTGTGGGTCCACAGCAGGCCACAGCATAGACACAGGGGTGCAGGCCTGTTTCCTGAAATAAGTGGATATAGTGTTGGCGTTGTGATTGCACAAACTATGGAACAGCAATAGCACAACACACCACTTCCTGTCTGATCTGAAGTCTAATGATAATTGGCTTCTGTTTCAAATCCATCCTCCTGAAATGTCACAGTGTCTACGAATGCAGGAACGTTTCATTGTTCACTGTTTACCGTACACATGGGGTTAAACCACAGAGCCGCAGGATTTATTGTTAGCTTGTCAATGTCAAGGTGTAAAGGTCGGAGGTCAGACGAGGTACCACCCTTTTCTGTCAGAGATCGGCTGGTGTTCCGTGTTGTTTAATTGAAACCCAGCAGGCTGCGGAAATGAGTCACTTGTTGAACGGGAGCTTCACTTGCCCTGGGAATCCTCCCATAATCAGTATTATCCCTCAAAGAAAACACTTTCAGTGGAACAGTGCAATCAAGGAGCTCTGCAGCCATGTTAACTGCTTCCTGTATTTGGCAAAACAGAAGAAGGCTGGTTCCACATTCTTTTTAGATTAACGCTGGGTTTACTCCACTTTACACGCTGACGTAACCTGTGGACAAAGGTGAACTAAAACCACTGAGCACATCGAAGCAGCTCCAAAATGATCTGATAAAGTTGAATCCTCAAATTAATATTGTTATCTGATCATTACATTTGCCTTTGTTCTGGTGGTAATTTGTCAGTTACACTTTTGAAAATGTATCATCGTTTATGCACAGTTTAGAATTTGGGAGGGCTCACTGCCAACTTCCAGAACTTTCTAAACAACTCAGTGTGAAGACGATTATAGTGCTGAGCTTTACTGCCCCCTGCTGGCGCAAGTAATCAATGTTGATCGCAGCATTGGCTTGATCTGCAATCAGTTTCGTTTTTGCGTTTCTGAAACTCAATTTACTTTTTACTAGTGTCTGCAACCACCTACAACTAATTATCTGACACAACTATTTAATGAATTCTCGCCTACATTTGCATTAGTTTCTAGAATGAAAGGAGAAGAACTGCATTAGATGCAGGTTCAATTGTAAAATGTATCTGCTGTAAATGCTAAAAACACAGTTTAGGAAATACTATATATCATTTCTAAAAATAAATTGCAGTGATCGCACTTTCGAAAACACAACACCAGATGATTTCATATCGTATGAACGTGAAGGGGGAGTGTCATGTCACCATTGTTTCCAATAAACTATTCAGACTGCTAAAAATATATATCATATTGAATCAATGATATATTAAATATATGTGACCTTTCATATATGAGGGAAATGTTTCTCCTGCCGCTGGGGATTCAAACTGGCAACGTTCTGTCACATCCTTCTTTATCTTAACTCACAATTAGTTTGTGTTTCTTCAGAAGGGACAAAACATCTCAGCTGCACAGAGCACTAAGGAGGGTTCATTAATGAAGATTTAAACTAAATAAGATTCTTCCAAGATATATTGTAAATAAAACAGGGGCTATCAGAAAGCTGACTCAAACATCCTGTGTGCTTTCATTTTCTATGCACATTTCATTTTGATAATATGAATTCCACATGCATATAAAGAAGAGCACTTATCCCAAACTATATCAGAAC